AAATTTCTTTTTTCTATGCTGGCCTCTAATTCCTCTTTGTATGGAGTGCTAGTTACAACGGCAGCTTTTCCACATTTTGTACTCTTTTTTTTTTAATAATAACTTTTGAAGCAGTTGGAACAGGCATCAAGTTGCAGGGGTAATCTGTTTCTAAGGGGTAACCTTTCTCTCAGTGGTTTGCTGTCTTGAACGGGTAACTTATCTTTCAGGGATTTTTTCTTTCGGTCATTGTTATCTTATTGTTCTTACTCTACTGTGTCTTCCTCTACTTTTTCTTCATCCATTGTTTCTGTTTCTACTCTTTCTTCATTAATTGCTCCTTGCATTTCTGCCACAAAATCATATTCTTTGAATGCGTTTCTATCAGGAGGAAACATTCCAGTTTTTCTAAACCCGTTTATATCTGTATCCATGGTGGCCGCTCTTAAATAGGTTTTCCCAAAAAGTTCTCCCACCTGTCCTCTCTGTATTGAATGATATTATTAAGTTTTTAAAAATTTACCTTCAAATTTCCTTAAATATCTAAAATGCAACAGTTACCAGAAATTTTCATTCATTCACGAAATTACCATAACCTAAATCATCGAAACGCAACACGAGTTTGCCCCAAAACGTGAACGGGGGCTTTCTAGGAAGTCGGTGGTTAGTTTTTAATGTTCATAATAGGTGTCGGAACAAGTACTTGATTAAAATTGAACTACCCCATATTAGGCACTACCCCCATATTAGGCGACTTTTCTCTATATGCCATCGCGGACTTTTTTGTAGATCACATAAACCTTCTTCTTGAAATACTCCAATCATTGGTGAAAGCCGTGTGAAAATCTATTCGCTAGTTTTTGAAGTTATGGCGTTCAGACAGACAGACAAACACGACGGGTGATTTTAATTTATAATATGTAAGCAGTGATAATTCATTATTTCTATTGAATATTTGTGCCACCAATTGAAATGTACACTCTTTATTTATTGCAGGGTATTTGCCAATTTTCTTACACTTGAGTAGGTTAAACATATGTTCAAACGTACGCGAAAAATTCTGTGTTTCGTTAAAAAAAGTCCAGTTTGAGAAAACTGGCGACTTGGGAGGAATACCCGATTTTTAAATTTCATTTGAAAACCACATAACTGGTTCACCGTCAGCTATAAAAAAATAATTTGATGAACATCATATGTAGCCTGGTGAGTGGTTTGTTCCACCCACTCAATCGACCGCGGTGCGAACCGGTGGTTCGAACCGCAAGACCGGACGATCGATTTTCACTTCCTATCGTCCAAACCGTGTTAAGAATAACACGTTAAAAGGTAAGACCTCGTTACTCCTTAGCTCGCACAAGTTTAGACATTTGAGAGTTGTCGTTCGTAGGGGGAGACAGCTGGTAAACGGAAAAACATATTTTAACAGTTTGGATTTTAAAATAATGGTTTTCTGAAGATGATATAAAGATAATTTTTCATTTCCATTAAAATCCGCATTCTAATTACTTCAATTTAAGGTATCAATACTAGTATTTCTAGTATGAAAGGTGCTTTAATCAAAGCGTTCGCAGAAGTTATCAAGGAATTGTGGTCGGAAGATTTATCTGAAAGAGTAATAAACACTGTCTACTTAAAAGTCAGATTCAAAGATTTGCCCCTCGATTCATGGGATCTGCCCATCAAGACGCCCAGGAATTCCTTCGATATTTTCTAGAAGGTTCACATGAGGACCTCAATAGAATTACGAAGAAACCTAAACCAATTTTAACGGAGATTGACAAAAAATTGAGCGACAGCGGAAAACATGAACATGAACAACTCTAAAATTGTAGACAATTTTGCTGGTCAATTAAAATCCACTATGAAGTGCACACACTGTGCGGACACTCATCAGAAACCTTCGATCCTTTCTGGGATTTCTCTCTTCCCATACCACAAAGAACTGGCCAATTGAGTCTGTCACAATGCTTGGATTTCTTCAAAAGAGATGAAACTCTGGATGGAGATGAAAAACCAACGTATTCGAGGTACAAGAGAAGATGAAATGGCACAAAGTCCCTATCAGTCCATAAGTTTCCCCGTATTTTAGTAATCTATTTAAAAAAGATTCTCTCCAACGAAAAGATTCAAAGGCAAATTGAATGTTGCCATTGACTTCTCTTTAGAAGCATTAGATATGAGCAATTATGCAGCAAACAAAGTGGCTCCTTGTCGGTATCATCTATATGCACTTTCGAATCACAGTGGCACTACTTACAACGGGCATTACACAGCATATTACAGACACCCTTATAGGGGTACGTGGCATGAATACAACGATTTACACGTGTCCCCAATTTCATCAAAATCGCTTGTGAGTAAGAAGGCATATATCCTCTTTTGTGCATAGGAGGGAATGAAGCAACACTTTTGAGATGTTTTTTTTGCTCTTTTCATAAACTAAATTCTGTTAATTAAATTTCGGTTCCGATTTTATTAATGTTTGAAAATGATAGAAACGACGATGCTTATACAAATCACCGAATGTGATTTTATTCTGCGACAGATGAGAACTCAAGCTTATAATTTCCGTTCATGTAAGATGAAACCAGATTCAGGTGATGATGCTCATGAAGATATCGATTATTTGATATTTATAGTCTCAGCGCTAGATTTTTTATTTGTGACCTACGGCAGGACTAGTTTATTCAGTCTGGAAGGGAGTGTCAGCAAATTGAAACAATTTTGTAGTGACTTTGAATTTATTCGCTTTCTTGGGCATGATGATTCGTCAGATTTTCTTAACAAGCTTCGACTGCGATAAAAAAATAATCGTCTGGTGATACATTCTTGCATCACAATCTACAAATTTTAAATGACTATATACAGGGCGTGTCCTGAATAATGAGATGAATGCTAATCAGAATATACGAGGTGTGTAAGTAAGGTTAGGAGAATAGCAACATAACTTTCCATTTGGAAACACTGCGATATGGGAGATGGAGTAACAGAAGTTTAGCTGGTGATAAGCTTTGAATAACAATTCAAACTCAAATATTCCCAGAATTGTTTGTGATGAGGCGTTGTTTGTTTGTGATTTGAGATCTGTCGCGTTCTTGAAAGCTTCGAGTGAAGCGGGTGAGATCAAAATCTAAAACAATTAGATGCATTGTGCAATACACTTTGCACGAACGACAATTTCGGTTAAATGACCAATCACATCTCAGCCTCCTCAGTCGGTTGACTTGAGTTCTTGTGACTTTTTCTATTCCATAAAAATGAAAAATTGTTTCATTACGGCTAAAATCGATCATGTTGATGAGTCGATGACTAGGCAGCTTTTACAAAGTTTTACATTAACCGAATGAACTAAACCTGTTTAACCGATTGAAATGAACATAAAGCGGTGCTTATGACAAGCCCTTTTGAGATCAACATTTTTGGCAGGATATTGGTGTTTATCTGTCAGAACATTTGTTCTATATGAATCGAATTGGAGTTTTTCATTCTTTTTTTCCAAGCTATTCCTCCATTATAAGACTTCACATGAGTGTATGTTCAGATTTACCAATCATTTTTTCTGAAATACCAACTGGAAGAATTGGGACATTACAGTTCATGAATCATTATACAGAACTCATAATGAGCCGTTACCTTTTCTCAAGAGCAACAAAATCAAAATCTATCCATATAATTAAACACTCATCACACTTTGAATTTTTTTCAAGACGAGTTTCACTACACTTCTGCTTCATCAGTTGAATTGGTGAACCTAATATACTTTGCAGTGAGACGCGTCTTCCTAATGTGAGAATTGTTTAATTTTTATCATGGATAGTCGTTATTCATTTGCATCAAGTGACGGGTAAGTTTCCAAATCAGTAGAATGTGTTGTATTTGATGGAGAAATAAAACAATATTTTTGACCCGAATCAAAATTTTGTTTTCTCGACTTTGAATTACAGATATCAGAGAGATTGACCTCATATTCGTAGAAAAAAAGTCTTATTTCGATCTCAATATCGTTGACAGATAGTATATAGCACCTTGTATAAGATCATTATTTTTGATAGGTAATTAATATTTTCCGAATTGAATAATTTTGACATTATCATTTGAATCTCAGTTATTTTTTATTTTTTCAGTTTTTTTTCACCATAATATCAACATAACCCTCGCATGCCAACGGCAATCGATCAAAATGCGTGCAATTCCATAACATAATTTTTTTTAAAGATCCCCAGACATGCGATCTCGGATTTCATCAAAGAAATTTACTTGACAAAATTTTTAAACCGATTAAACCCATGACAACCCAATTATTTTATACTAGCTCACCTAAAAATGAAAAATATCGCTGAGTGGTAATAAAGTATTTGATCAAATAAAGCTTGCTACCTTAAACATCCAACAAAAATATTTTAATCAAAATTTATACGTACTTTATTTTCTGAGAGGAATGAAAATCACATTTCAAATCAAATTGATTTCGAAATTATCCTAAGCATTACGAAATTAACAAGTAACACAAGCTTGAGAAGAATCAGCATGTAGCTTAGTGGCTGTGAATTCATATATCAGCTACTGGGCCGCCTGTAGTCGAAATACTGGTAGTCATGGTTTTTCCAATGTTCCTGAAATGGAGCAAAAAATTAGTCGGGAAATAAAAAACGTACCTGGCAGTCCTCACCCTCCAACTGAAACGGAACTGATGACTCCATCGACTAGGCTATCCCGACTCATGTCGTCTACCATCGCAACTTTGAAATGGTGGCCAAAGCTAGCTAAGTCCTCTCTGAAAGCTTCACTGGCAGGAGTTAGTCCACCACTAGCAGGGGGCAAAGGCGTTTCCCCAGGTCCAATATCCCCCATCATGTCCATATCTTCAGCGTTTTTCTCGAGAGGAGCCTCCTCTTCGTCCTCATTATATATTTTGAAATAGGCAAATGCCAAATAGACTACAGATAAAATAAAAGAAGGAATAGGTATTGCCATGGCGTACACCAAGTTCATGTAAACTTGCCACATACTCAAGTGGCTGATTACCATACTCGGATCTACTTTGCTATAGTAACAAGAAAAATTTGTTCCAATTTCTTTGTACGTCTTCAAGAAAATTGAACAGTTGAGCATCGGAGGATATCCACAACCCTTAACATTGGGTAACAATCTGGCTTCTCGGAATGACCACTCAAGATCATCTTCGGAAAGACCGGTCTCCTCGTCTTCGTAATCATAATCGTCCAGGAGGGCTCTCTTCTCTCGCTGTAGAGCAGCTGAGACGGTCGGTATGACCGAAATGTTGGAACGGTTTGAAGCAATTTTATAATTTACAAATATTTGTGTGCAGTCATAAATATCTTTAGTGCAACCTTCTCTACATGAAGTCCAACTACAATTTGATGCACCTAAGCGTCTCTCGGTCCTCTGGGTCACACACTGAGCTGGTTCTTCGTCGAACTCCATGAAAATCGTTGTAAAAGCCGGATCGATGACAAAAGGCACAAGGAATAAAAATGAAAATAAGCTGAAAATGCCAAGCAGCACGAAGAAAGCTGTAGTATAAAATAGTAGTTTATGTTTCCATGTTTGTTTGATTTCCTCTTTCTCCATGGTCGCGATGCAAGGGCAATGTGGAGCTCGGAGCCCAACATCTGCGGCCTCAGACAAGCGCGAGCGGCTTTGGCCAGCTCACACCATGTAGTTTCTCCCAGAATTCGCGATAGAAGTTATATTACTTATATTACTTCCTTACAGGAATGCGACGAACTGGCGGCCAGCACATATCAGTTATGTATAATCTATCTCACGATCAGGACATCTGAGTTTAACGAGAACGGGAAAAGTTAAATATTAAAATAGATATTAAGGAAACACTTAACAGTCAATCACAGTCGTTACGGTTTAGAAGTTATTTCGCACTGTCGGAATGAGACAACGATTCCTTCGTGTAGGGTATGCCGTCGGTGGGCATTGTGTTGTGAGCACTGCAGTCCGTGTTTACGGTATCGATCTTGGCGCCGGTTCCGTCAGATGACTGGCAGAACACTATCCCGCCGCCCTCCATCAGAGGAGCCACTTGCCCTTCGCGCTCTACCACCTTTCATCGCGATATCTCGCAACTCTGGATCTGAACGGGTAAGTATTTCATTTCAGTTTTAACATTCAACTCGAAAATTTGATTTCGCCCTTATCGCGATTCCGTAATGGCGAACGAAAGGGTTTGTTTTGACAAAAGGACCGCGGGCAGTGCGCGTGCTATTATTAGTCCGCCGCAGTGGGATATTGATTAAAAGACGTGCGCCCTACTATCTGGCAACCACCGTTCAGTTCGCCTTCGCTAGTCCCGAATGGCGGCGGCACTAACCACCCCCAATTTCTGCTGACATCGGAATGCGGAGTAGCGAGTCAAGATGCCGAAGAAGAAGCCCACGCCCGTTGAGGATCTGATCATCCCTCCGCAAGACACGAAAATTTGCGGTACGATATGCTTGTGTCAGCTGACCCTAATTCTCAGTAGTGTAGCAATAGTGTATCTTACGGTCGCAATTTACGTTCCATCTACTCGCGCCATGCAATCGGGGATATCAGAAACTCCAGTTATGTGCACCACTACTCGAGCCGTTACGGTGGAGTCCTGTGACTGGGGTTCTTGCGGGGAATGGTGTCTAAGCAAGACGTCCGGATCCTGCATGCAGATCTACGTGAATTTGAGGCGAAACGGTTCGAATTTGTTGCTGGCGAACTGCACGAACATCGCACAGAAGTTCTGTTACGGTAAGGATCAGGAGAACGCCAAGAAGAGTAGATGCATTGCGGATGAATGCAAGAACCTGACGGGGACCTTCAACTGTTCCATGGGGATGTGCATCGATATAACGGATTCCTTCGAGTGCATTTACAAGGATACAGACCCACCGTTGAAATGCTCTGGCAGAAGAGGGAAAATTACTTGCATCGATCTTAACGGGTTGTATAGTTGCAATAGGGGGACTTGTGAGAGAATCCGGACACCCTACAACTGCGATCGCCAGTGCGGAGATATTCCAACAAGAAATAAAAATGTGATTATGCTGAGTGGCGATGAGGTGTACCTCTCGCAGTGTCAGCGGTGCCTGGACAGTGACACTGGCGAAGAGGTTTGGAACGAAGAACAGGACAACATTATTATGGCTTCTTGCCATACCATTCTGAATACCAGCAGAGGTTTGGAAGCAGTAGACTGCGTAAATGGTTCTCTATTAGCCAACAACATCTTGAGTGACATGGCTAACTTCACCTATTTGAGCTATTTGAGCGTTTTCAACACAGTTCCTCTGGATGAACGCCAGATAGTTGCTCCGCCTGAACCTGAATTGCTCATAGCGAACGAGAGTAAGCTTCTGATCAACCTGGAAGGATGCGTCAATACTCTGAGAGATGAGTGCAAGGAGTTCCTGAAAGTTTACGGTAAAGATGGCACGGACCACAACGCCAGGGCTCGCTTTCCATGCTTTTTCTCGGCAGAAAATCCCACTGTGGTTGTAGCTCGCTTCGATTTGGCTACAACGACTAAGCAATTTTTAATCGCTTCTCTCCTGCCCTCTGTTCTTTTCGTCGTATCATGTCTCACTCTAATCCTTTGTCAACGCACCGTCGTTGTGGGGGATGATGCGAAAATGCGTTTTCAGGGATGCATCAAAGCTGAGGCTGAAGTTGCGGAGAAAGCTGCGTCAACGAACAATATAAACGACAGGGGGGGAGGCAATTCAATCATGGCACTTTGAGATCAATCACGTAAGTACTCAAACGTTACGTTTAGATGTTCATTCAGTAAGAATCGAGCACCATTCATAGCTGTAAGAGTTGAATGTGATTTGCTAAAAATCAGCTAAAACATGTGTACCAACTATATTCACCTCAGCAGAAATAAAATTAGAGCACTCCTTTATGTGATGAAGTGATACACGAAGTATTGAAATAAATATTGATTCTTGATAAATTTCAAATAAACCCTTTTACCGTTTTAATTCTCTCCATGAGGTGGGGAGGGTAACTGTTCATTTGTTTCAAATCATCAGGAATTCCACAATGTATCTTCTTGTTTTCCAACAGAACTCGTGAACTTTCCAAGTTTTTTTTCAACCTGTTTCTGAAGTTTTTCATTAAAGTTATATTATTGAAAATTCAAATGGTCATGTGCTCAGATTTAAAAGAAATCGGGAGAAAGGGTAAATCATTCAACAAAAAATACTCTAATTACAAGTTACAAATATACATGTTACAAAACTCAAAATTATTTTTACATTTTATGGTAATTTTGAAAGTATATAATTAAAGAAATCAAGATTGTAAACAGTTATTTTCATTTTAGTATTTATTCTAAGATAAAAATAGTGTGCTGAGCAAATAATGAAGCAATATTCATAATTTAGCTTCTCAATTTTGATACCAAAGATCCAAAGGGATTCGTGTTGAAATCATTCAATATTTTTAAATTTTTTTCAACAGGAGTAAGTTCACCATAGTTTTCAGCGTGAAATGCAAAAAAATTGATTTCTCAGCAACTCAGTCGGAATACTGAAGTGGAGGCGTTCAAAGGTTTTAGGCAAGCAATAAAACCATTCAATAATTTGAAAGTGATATTTATATCTGGCTGAAGCAGCTTTTACAATGAAGGCAGATTAATGAGTTTAAATAAGTTTAATAAATTATATGCTCACAGAAAAAAATATCAGAAGTATGTTTTCAATTTTCACTTTATGTCCCTACTCTGAGCATTATTGAACAAGCTTGTTCTTTGTTACATTGCCAGGAAAAATGTCGAATACAAATTATTAACCCATATTACACCACTGTTAATATTTTATTCATCGTTCCATAAAAGAGATATCATACGTTATTGATCAGTTCAAATTAGTCGTCAATTGTTCAATTCTATTGTTATAGTGAATTTACTGTTGAATAAACCGATTATAAAAACAGTTATCTGATCCCAATTGCAGATAAAGCTGTGAGAATAATGAGTTAATTATCAATTAGTTTTATAACTATGATGAGTCAATAGTCATACATTCTGGACGGGGTCAATGCAAATCCATTGAAACGATATTTGTCATATGAGACCCAGTATCAAAACTGTAAATCAGATCGAAAGAGAAACTGGTCCATTACCAAGGTTCTACAAAAAAATACAGGGTGAAGTCAAAATTTAAAAAGAACAATTTTTTTAAGTTAGTTTACATCGACTTTTTTTCATCATACCCACAAATAAATTCTGAAAAGACATATACGAATTACTGATGTCGTTGAAATGTATTATAGTTCGAAATGAGCTCACTATAAAAAAATTGTAGGGGTAATCTAACAAATAGATCAAAGATTCCACTTTCCAAAAAATTTTGAAATTAATATTATGAGGGTAATGAAGGAAAACATATTTCTCATCTCCACTATTTTCAAATTTTGATAACCATATTCGAAAACATACACAAAATTCAATTGCTGAAATTTATTATTAACGTTGATAGCTTCGACAAATTTATTTCAATGTTATTTTCAAAATCATATTCAACAAAAAATATCAGCATTTAGTATTCCTCAGGAGTATTCGAATTTCGTTATAATTTTCTTCATAGTATTGAATAAACAAATTTCTCCTGTTAAAAACATATAGTTGATATAAAACTTGACTTTCAAATGAATTGCTAAGTTTTTCTAAAAGGTTGGGTAATTTTATGTTCATCCAATAAATAATAATTTTTTATTACAACCCTGATAATCGCTCGAATGGAAACAATACATACTCAATGTCCCGCCTCATTTCGGCTCTCGCGGTGTTCAAGAATAAGCTGAAAACGAATTCATTTTTTCTAATTTTAAACATATGTTGCATATGTTGCGACAAGTTGCATATTCCAGAAATTAATAATAAAAATTCCGACATGTTATTTGTTTCGAAGAAACTGAAGATATAATCATAGGTATTGATTTTTTCTGTTACCCAATTTTTTCCGAACTATGCTCAAAATTCATCTATACTCTGTTCATCTAACCAATGGAGTGCTCCAAAACATTATCATGCATCGCGCACGTGATCTCCCAGACAAGGCTGCTTGTACAGAGTCGCACTAAGGAACGACCGATTTTTTTCTAATATGTGGCTGGGTATAAAAATTTTTTTAGGTGGAGTGTAGGAGCACAAATAAGCAGTTGCTTCAGTCAGTACTTGACATTTCAAAAATTTTAAACTTTAAAATAACGTATGTGTACACACCACAGGCGTTAAAACGTAACTGACGACTCCGACACTGTAACAATGAATCGCGCCAGCCGATTGCAATTGAATCTGATTGGCCAGCGTAAGGAGACTTGTTTATTTTACCCAATAGATGTGAATGTTCGTGGTGATCACGCATCTATTATTGTTTGGGTTACTTTGTTGGACTGGCAAAGCTTAGAACTTCATATATGCTAGCTCCAAATTAAAGAAGATACACCCATTTACAGAACAAAGTCAACTCCAGCTTATCATCTGTGGCACGTAATGGGGCTGATTGCTTGCATTCATACGATTACCAGGGCCGTAATAAAAAGTCATTTGCTGAACATCAAATATGGAAGATTGAAGACTGTACTATATGTATATTGTTGATCAAAATAGTCATATGAAAATATAAGCTGTCAGTTCAAAAAATGGGGTGCATTTTCATTTTTCTCAAAAAATAATTATTATTTATCAATTTCTATTTTGTCCCCGTCGAGGTAGTCCCCCTCAGATACGATACACTTGTGCCAGTGTTTTTTCTAATCCTTCAAGCGGTTCTCATGTGCACTTTTTGATGTTTTTGAACTCTCTTAGCGGTTCGACTTTTATCTCTTTAATATCGCAAAACGCTGTCAATTCGTGGGTCTCCTCAATCTTGGGAACAGTGAAAGGTCGCAGCAATGACGACTGAGCAGGTGTATTAGTGTGATGCTAAAGCCACCATTTTTTTTCACAATACTGGACGTTTTCTGCGTATTGCTTCTTGCAAGCAGCGCATAACCATCGACCGAACGGCTATGTGGCAAGAATTCCAGGTGGACTACGCTACCGGAATTGAAGAAAACAGTGAGCAAAACCTTAACATTTGATCGAACTTGGCGTGCTTTTTTTTAATTCAGCTCTCCTGGACTCTTCCATTGAGACGATTGGACTTTGGTTTCGATGTCATAACCTCATACCCATGATTGGTTACTAGTTATGAACCTTTTAAGCAAATCTAGATTGCCGTTGACGTCATTCAACAATTCCTGAGCGGCTCATGCGACGTTTTTTTGACAAAATTCAACAGTTTTAGAACAAACTTGCCAAACGCTTCATGCCCAAAATTTCCAAAAACACTGCATGGTATCGATATGCCGATATCCTCAGCAACTCCTCTAATAGTGATTCGATGATTCTCCATAAAATTTTTCTTCACTTTCTCAATATTTTCATCGGTTGTTGCTGTGCTGGGGCGTCGCAATCGATAGAATCGATTGAAGATTCAACACACGAATATTAAAGATGAACGAAGCTTCTAAAGGCGGTCGCTTGCAAAACCGACAAGATTTGTTCTTTGTCTTCCACTGCAGATCCAATTGTAGCTCTCACTGCAATGCAACTAGATGCAACTGTTACTAATCAGGATTCCATCAGTTGTGGTACGAGTGTTAGTCGAACACTTTCAAAATATATGAAAAAAAGAGACAAATCCCAACCTCTCTTCAATGTAAGCGATGACATCTGCTTACGAAGGCGGCATTTTTGGGGGCAACAAAAGACAGTCCACGAATATCAGAGATAAACGATGTTTTCAAGCACTGGTTTCATTTAGCTATCTTGCAGCAGAAGGAAGAGGACGAATCTCGTTCGGCGATCGATGTCGAAACTTGGCTTTGCAATGGACCGTCTTGGGGAGCTTTGTTCAACTCTGATATTCGTAGATTGTCTTTGTGTTGAATCCATTAATGTCGCCTTCGTAGGGGGAGGCGTCATCACGTCATACTGTCATCACGTCCTTTGAGGATAGTTGAGTCCAGGACGAGTCAGAACAGCCCTGTCTGGTGTTGGATCACAAATGCTTTTTCTTTGGGCTCTGGTTTTTATCCAATTTCCTTCATGTGGACTCTGGTTTCATCTAGTTTTCTTCATGAATGACACTTTCACTTTATTAGGCTTGTCCTTTGAGGACAGTTAAGTGCAATGCATTCGTGATTTAGCCTAGTACCCCTGATGAGACTTGGGCGAGTCGAAACGGTCGAAACACGTATGCTTTATCTCTGAGCTCTGGTTTCATCGAGTTGCATTGCAGTGAAAGCTGCAGTTGGAGCTGCAGTGGAAGACAAAGAACAAATCTTGTAGGTTTTGCCAGCGACCGCCTTTAGGAGCTTCGTTCATCTTTGATATACGTGTATTCAATCTTCAGTCGACTCTATCGATTTCTACTTCGCAGCAGGAGATGTAATCGCCTTTATTTTCTCGGGTTTCTTCTTTGAGAACAATTAAGACTAGCAATGCATTCGTGATTTAGCTTAGCACTACTGATGAGGCCTTCGAGGGGTTTCAACAGCGCTGTCGGTTTTGAATCACAAATACTTGGTTTCAAACTTTTTTTTTCATCTTTTTCAATGTCTTATATCGGTACTCGGATTGAAATATCTAGTGTCGCATTAGTATATTATTAAACTAGTTTTTAATGCAAGATATTATTGCATGAGTCATACCAGTTGGTTGGTAGGTACTCAAAAATTTGTATTGAGAGGTAAAAAATGTTTTGCTTTTGATGCTTTGTGTAACATCGCTAATATTAGTATCAAGATACTGAAATGTTTTGTTAAAAGTTAGATACTTCTTGCAGAAAAATCTATTGGTCATCTGAATTATTATCCTTTCTTTTAACAATAGAACAGAAAAAAACCATGACTTAAATCAGGTTATATTGAAGTCTCTATGGGTTTTTGATATTATATCTACATGTCAATTCGTTCACCATTTTCCACGTTCATTATACACATTTATTCATTATAATACCTTGTTTTTGTAAAGTGACTCATTAACAAGATATTTCCTGATATAGTGGAGGGATTTCCATGCTAGAAATCGCACGTTGAAAGGTAATCCGCAGCTCGTACATGTTTCGACTTCTGAGTGGTCCGTCGTGAGGGGGCGAAAACTGGTAAAAAAAAATATATTTCTTTGAACATTTCATATTTTTGGCGGTGATTCTAAAACCTGCATAAATTCACGGTTTCTTATTATTTTATTTTTTATTTTGATTTTTTGGGATGGAAAGACTGGGAAATGCACAGTGAAATGTGTAAAAAATACACACTAAAATGTGTAAGAAATTCATATATTTTACTGTGAAAGGTTGTGGTTGTGGACACATTAAGCAGATTCCCATTGAAAATTGACACAAATTTGATAGAACTTGTTCGACTGCATAATTTTCCAAATTCAAGTTTTTCATTGTGTTCGTCTGTACTCACATGCAATGTACTAATAATGGCGTCATGGTCAGAAAGAGTACATGATAGCACATCAACCTCTGTACTGTAGAAACGCATTGTTGCATAAACCAACCGCATATGCCTTTTCATTTTCTAATTTTTTGTTTTGTTTTTCAGGCGTTCCCCTCCTTTTGGACCGAGACTGAATCGAGTAATCAATAAAAATTGCATCCATCGAGTAGGGGAAAGCGTACATTTTGGATTTGTGGCACTTCTATAACATATAAGTAAATAATCAAAGCAATTACCATGAGCGTTCTAGGCGAAAAGAGTCAACTCACCCTCATTTCGATAGCAGAAACGGCTAAATTCTATACGTCATTATGTCTCGGAACCACGGCTTTTTTGTCTGTCTTCGCTTTTTTGTTTTTGATACCGTTCGTCGTCGATCCAGCAATAACTAGTTTAATGGCCGACTACGAACCCGATCCGGTCACCTGTATGGCGACACAGCACATCTACGCCGAGGGCATATCTAACTGCTCATGGTCCTCGTGTCGGGAAGGTTGCACGCGAGAGGCCACCAGATGTCATCAGATATACGTCAATTACTCGAAATTGCCCTTCTCCCAGTACCGATCATCGATAGTGGTGCGCTGGGATGTCGCAGATACCCGACTTCTGATCAACACAGAGGGCTGCGGCTACCCGCCCTCCGTGAACTGTTCGGAATTCGCCCGTCAGTACGGATACCAGACCGCCGGTACCCCGTTTCCGTGTTACTATAGTAGAGTTTATCCTGAGATGCAAGTAGTCGCTAGATATTCATGGGATGACACCCTTCGACATTTGATTCTGTCCATCACCATTCCGAATCTATTGTTCGCCGCCTCCATTGGAGTTTTGAGCTACTGGTATTGCCCCGGATGTGGTAGATCTTGCCAGAAGTACATGCATCATTTTCCTGCAGAGTAAGTTTGATTTTCATCTAGTGTGTGTTAGAACTTGAATTGAAAGTGAAATCCAAAACAAGCACTGCTATTAAACACCAGAACTCCAACACTCTTCTCAACGTGAGTTACCAACCATGTTGGCGTACTGGTATTCGATCCATAGATATCAAATTCTAAACCCTGGTTACTTCTAATCACCAAGAATTTTAACTCCTCATACCCGAAACTTAACCCCCCTGCGGTCAGCAACTACCCCTCCCTTTTTTTTTCAATGGCATGGGGGTTCGAGTGATACATAATTTGAAAGGTCTTTCGTCTCTCTATTACCTCTGTAATTTTCCTCGAAAGTGGTTCATTCGTTATTGAGAAATTGAATGTTGAACGTTTTATTTAAGAAAAAACAGAAAATTCTCTGTCGCTAATTTTATTGAGGAAATCAAGAAAAGTGATATCAATGGCAACACAATCAACGGATAAAGTATTCAAAATGACCTCCATCTAGTTCCATACAATAATACAGTCTACTTTCGAAAGCGTTCTTTACATTATTAAAGATGTCCGGAGTCAGAAATCGGCATTCCTGAACAATTCTTTGTCGCAGTTCTGTTTAACGTATTGATCGCTCACGTTGTATGAGAAATCTGTTTTTCCCCCAACCAGCTGTCGCCCTCCTAAGAACGACAACCTTCAAAAGTAGAAACTTGTGCGAGCTAATGATTGACGAGGTCTTATGTTTTAACGTGCAATATCTGACTTATAACATTTTCCTTAACTACGCACATCTTCATTAAAACCTCAAACACACATTTTCGAAGTAGCGTATTTTGATAACGGTAAATGCTATCGTTTTGAAATCTTTGCAAATATATAAAACATGCCCTGAATTGAATTCGACTGAACGACTTGATTGTGGATCTGAATTAATTCGAAAAATGAACTGAATTCATTCAAAAGGATTTTTTTCACTGAAAGCAGTTCACAAATTCTCCTAAAAACAGACAGTAACTGAAAATTCCTTTTTTTAAGTGAATAAATTCACTGAAAATTAAATGCTCATTTCGATTACAATAAATTCACAATGGTGTCCAATTCTGCTGCGAATCTGAGTAAAATATGTTTGTTTTCAATAGTGTGACTTTTTCAGTAATGTGTTTTTTTAATTTTTTTCAGAGAGGAAGATTTCGACGAGAACACGTACTAGCACGGATACTCGAAATATCTCCACGCCATGCTTTTTCAGCTGTTTATTCAAAAATTGTTGATATATCACTTCATCCTCTCTCACAATATTTGATAAGTTGAAGTCAAATGGTTATCGGCTTGAAAATTATTGAATATTATTCGAAATCGTGAATTAATAAACTTTAGTACAAATATGAAAACATTGATCTTGAATCTTGATTGTATCATATATATTATGATTGATAGGTACGTAATTATAACGATCTGTAAATATATTAGTATTGTTAAAATTGACAGTTTGCCCAATAATTGATATGCAGTTTTTATTGTTTTTTATTTTCATCCAACCAGGTGAATGATTAATCAATGAAGAAAAGAGAAATGGAACTTTCTATGTTTTTCAACACTTTTATTTGTAACTAACGTTACTGCAGTTTCGTCCCATAAGGACATTTTCAAACGTATACACTGAACTAAAAATAATTGATTACATTAGCCCTTATATAACACTGAGGATACACTATAAAAACACCCTTTTGTCTTCTATTTTCCACGATAGTTCTATATTTGTTGACTGGTTTCGGTCATTACACCATTTTTAAAACTAACTCATGGTGTAATGACAAATATAGTCAACGAATATAGAACTATCGTGGAAAATAGACAAAAGTGTGTTCTCATAGGGTATCCTTAGTGAACATGAATTTCCACAAAATAAACAAGTCGTCAATCGAAGAAGCCTTATATAACACCACTGTCGGTAATAATAGAGGTACTTAGCTTAATTGAGTACCTGAATTTTGTTTACTTGTAACAATGTGGATACGCTAATTTGAAAACCGATGAGTAAACTAGATCGATTTGATCATTTAACAGGTTGCACCCGCAATGTTTATGCTTGTGAATTTCCAAGGATTCCAAATAATTGAGTTAGCAACCCTTCCTTGCATAGTGCAAAATTTCCGTATCGTTTAGATTCGGGAACTTGTGGTTGCATCCCAAGGAATGGTTTGAAAAGTCGAATCATTTTTACATAGTCTGAAGGACATTTCATGTTCAGCATACCGTTATGACAAACTTCGACCACATTGTCCTACATAAACACTATTACACTCCGGACACTTAATAAACTTCAGATTTCTCCAACCTGTCCACTTTATCTTTGGCATTGAAAAGGAATTCTGACTAACTTCTGGAATGTATCTGCGTTGAAACCATTATTATGGCCTATCTGTGTAATTAAATCAGTTTCCCTAGCTAGATTGTTAGCAGACAAAGGCAGTGAGAATGCTCTGTACAACATTGAATTGTAGGCAGAATTGATGCCCTTTTCAATGCCAAAAATGAAGTGGACAGGTTGGAGAAATCTGGAGTGTATAAGGTTAAGTGTCCGGAGTGTATAAGTTTATGTGGGACAATGTGGTCTAAATTCCCAAAAACAGTATGCTGAACTTGAAAGGTCCTTCAGACTAGGACAACATGACTCGACGTTTTCAAACCATTCCTTGGCATACAACCACAAGTTATCGAATCTAAACGATACGGAAATTTTGCACTATGCAAAGAAAGGTTGCAAACTTAATTATTTGGAATCCTTGGAAATTCATAGGCATACACATTGCGGGTGCAACCTGTTAAGTGATCAAATCAATCTAGTTTACTCACAGGTTTTCAAATTATCATATCCACATTGCCACAATTAAACAAAATTCAGGTACTCAATAAAGCTAAGTACCTCTATTATTACCTACAGTGGTGTTATATAAGAGCCAATGTAATCAATCATTTTTAGTTTAATATATAAGTTTGAAAATGTCCTTATTGGACGAAACTGCAGTAACGTTAGTTACAAATAAAAGTGGTAAAAAACAGAAAGTTTCAATTCCCTTTTCTTCATTATGATTTCCTACCACGTAGTAACGGCTACATCCATGAATTGATTAATCAATGCATTATCAATTTCCTTAATACAAAACATTCATATTTCTCGTCCCAGTTATATGGGCACAATTGTGATATGTACCTACCTGAATGATAAACTATATACATAATCATTGTATATTCCTCTTTGCCTATTATTCTTTCTAGGGCCCAAATTCACCTTTATGTCTCAATATTGTGCCACTCGAAGTTGCCTAAACAGCAACTTGACCTTAACTGAAGTAAATATTACCAAGCATGGTTTCTGAACAAACTACTAATTTCAATATGATATATTTTCTACAAAAGGTGGTTTGTATTAACTCATCATTCATCAATGGTTGTTCTAGGTTATTACAATTGATTATTGGAAACGATAGGTTTTGGTTTCCAAATTTTCCATCTTTATATTCCAAAGGAAGGAACGCAATTAATTAAAAAAACTATATACAAAGATTTGTAGATTCGTGCAAAGACTTAACTTTCAAACACAAACTGAATAAAACTCTCTCTAAACAGTTACTTTCATCATCAGTGACATCAGAATTTGGGCATATCGTATGCTCCTCTCTGGAATATAATTATTTATTATTCTGATCCTACTCCGGAGAATGTGTTGCATACCTGAATGGTGGTCTAGATGTGATTTCGAATTGGGGTGAAAGTAACCAAGTTCAATTCAATGCCACAAAAACCCAGGCATCGGTTTTCTCTAAGAAGATGAATGTCTCCGAACCGGGTATAATAGTGTCAGGTCAGACAATCCCGTTTTCTGCTTCGATAAGTTTATTGGAGGTTAAATTGGACACCAGTATGTCTTGGCACAAATATGTCACGGGAATTGCAAAGGCGCTTCTCAAAAGCTTGGAACACTGTTCCGAACCAGAAAACTATACACACCTTAGCAACTTTTGATGTTTTATAAAGCTCAGATCAGACATTCTTTGCAGTATTGTTCTCATGTATGGAGCTTTGCCCTTAAACATGCCCCGGAATATTTGTGTAGGTGGTGGCAGTGATACATCCTACTGAATCAACTGCAGGCAGAACTTATGACTAGTTGAATATAATTTTGTTTGTACGGAATATTGCCATTATGTGTGGAATATAAGATCGTTCAAATGTCTGCCACAGCTTTTCTGGGTGGAGAGCATCTGAAACGTCCAATTTTCCAATTTTCCATGACACATAAATCAGGCTGAATTTGACCGATGGTAAGGGGTATGTTAGCTTTTAAAGTCACTGTGGTTTGTGGCTCATTGGCATACATCTGTGACTTAAGAAAACCCCACAAGAAAAAGTCTAACGGGGTCAAATCGCACGATCTCGGTGGCCAGTTCCCATCACTTCCACGTGAGATGACCATGCCCCCAAATCGCTGTGGCAGGTAGCGCCGTCCTATTGAAACCACATGTCGTTGGTGTCCAGATCATCCAATTCAGGCCAAAAGAAGTTGGTAATTATCGACCTATAGTGCTCGCCTTTGACAGTGATGTCCTGGCCAACGTCTTTCTCGAAGAAATATGGACCGATAACACCGCCCGCCCAAGCCACACTAACCAGTGACTTTTTGTGATGCATTGGACGCTCTTGGATCTCATGCAGATTGGTATCATCCCATATTTGACAATTTTGTCCGTTCACGTACCCATTTAACCAGAAATGGGCCTCATCGCTAAAAATTATTTTTGATGAAAATTAGGGTCAGTTGAACACTGCTCCAGAGTTCATTCAGCGAACACACGTCGTTGTCTATGGTCTTTTATCTTCAGTTCCTGGATCAGTTAAATTTTGTACGGGTGCAGGCCCAGTCACGACGCAAAATTCGCCAACTTCTGATTTGCGAAAGGCTGAGTTTTTTAAGCGACGCGAAATCGACTGCCTCGGATTCTCCTGCACAGAAAAGGAGCAAACATTGTTTGTTGATCAAACACACCGTTTCTGAAATAAAAATTCCAAATAATGACAAAATTATATATAATTCGAACAACGGCAATGGTCTGCAGGATTCTCTATTTTTAGCATTGCACATGAATCCTATACCCTTTTTTGTAAAAAGGAAACAGTCTGCAATTGAGATTTGCAGCATGGAAATTCCTTACCTTGAATAAGAATTTGTAGGTGAAAAATAAGTTAATTTAGCGCCAGACAAACCTAGTTCCTCATGAGTTTATCTCACTGCAAAATACCCTGAAGCTAGCTTCCTATTGAGGGTTACATTGTGATCATTGAATTTAGGTTTGTTGTCGAATAATACCCCCAGAAATTTGGAACTAGCCCTGTTTCCAATCATCTTGTCATCATCCTTTGTTAGTATGCTGTCAATGGAACAACGGAATGATATTGAGCTTGTTTTAGAAACGTTAAGTGACAGGCTATTAGAGTCGCACCAACCTTTATTTTTTTATACCTGAGCATATGATCTATAGAGATAACAGGTAGTACCTTCTATATTGATAGATGGTAAATCATTTATGCACAACAAGAAAATAATAGGGCCCAGTATTGATTCCTGTCGTACTTCGTTTTTTATTCCACATTTTTATAAGGATGATGAGGTTGATGAGGTTTTCACAATCTGATTTCTGCCTGTAAGATTATTCTTAAACCATTAATGCGGGTATTTCCGCGGATGCTATAGTGACCGTATATTCAGCCATAACCCATGGTCAGTCCCTACAACTTTTGTTCGAGACTACCAAACTGTCGTTAACCTTTGTAGAATTATAACTTTTCAAATTGGTATGGCAACCATCTCGTTTTCCGATATATTTATTTTTCTGCTTGAACCCTTTAATCTGATTATTCAAATCATGAAGAAAAATAGTCTTCTATATTTGTGAGTCCGCCTTATTGAATTGAAAATGACGTTATTTCATTTTTCCTATTCACATATAGTCACTGACTATAAATCAAATCATCTGAAGGAACAATTCGTTCATGTCAGTCTCAACTCCCTACATTGTGGGTTAATGGACTGACATCTATGGAATATCATCGACTCTATGTTGATGATGGCCACTACCTTGCACTGACGAGAGACCAAATAGCCGGAAACCGGTCTGCAAGTGTGTTCCAATAACTGAAAGTCTATTGCTGCAGTTGTATCGCCAACAGCATATGCAGGAAATACTTCAGTGAAGAGTCGTGCACTGATGCCTGTCGGATATAATCCAACGCCCTTCGTGGTATTAGCCAGGGGAGTATTTATTTTCTGATAGGTGTCAGTCCATTTACCTACAGTGTAGGGAATTGACACTGACCTGAACGAACTGTTTCTTTAGATGATTTGATTTTTCCTATTTTTTCAGCAAAGTTAATTGAAGTTTTTGAAGCCTGTGAAAATCATTTTGTGTGACAAAATCGTGCGTCCAATCCCAACATTTTTGCTGAGCAAATCAAAC